ATAAAACAACTCTTACACCAAAAACTTATAACCCGCGACACCATTACATGCCCATACATTAACACACTAACATTCATATTCATATATTGCATACTCATATTCATGCCACCATAATTACAACATCACATATTTGCATTTACTTCACAAATACCCCATATGCAAACTAAGCAATACAACCTTCCGTAAATCACAATACACAATACTTGCACACCCATCAACATTTACAACTTTGTATTATTCAATATTACCTTGCCAATACTAGGGCTGATAAAATTGAAATTTTCCAAAATTTAAGGGCTAATAAAATTGAATTTTTTTTGAAAAATTTGGGGGCTGATAATATTAAAATATTCTAAAAATTTTGGGCTAATAAAGTTTTTTTTTTTAAATTTTGGCGGTTTAAAAAGTTAAACTTTTAAACAAAATTTGGGGAAATTTTTAAAAATTTTAGAGCTAACAAAGTTAAAATTTTTTCACAAAAATTTGGGGGTTGGTATTGTATAAAATTTTAAAAAATTCACACACACTCAAAAATCCTCGCAACATTATACAATAATTTACTTACAAAAGTTCATCGGAACGTTGAGGGCTAATAGTCTCCAAATCAGTAAAAGTATACGACCCAAACAAACACTGCACAAAATAATTTTTTCGGACATTCACACACTATCTTTGCAACACTAATATACAATTCAGTTATGAATGTTCTTTAGAACTTATGTATTTTTTTCATTGTTTGAATTTTTATCATGTTTTGAATTTTTATTATTTAATTATGACATCAAATATTGACACATTTGACCTAAACCAAATAGGAAACCAATTTCATTTTTTTGTTGGTTTTAAAATTTGTATTTCATTTGCATTATCAATGAAAACAATTTTTGTTTATTACACTTTTTTTCTTTTATATGATTAATATAAAATATTGGAGAAATGACCCATTTTTTCTACATCTTTTATTTAACTATGACATCATGGATTCACCCAATTAGCCCAGATGGTTGAATTGGCTTACCCACCATTCGGATGGAAGAATGGATTTGTTTTTTTTTTTTTTTTTGTTAAGTTGAAAAAAAGATAAATTACTAAAACCTCCCTTGAGGTTTCTAACTGTTGTTGAAATCTACCCTGAAGTTTGGTGATTGCAATCGCCTCCTTGAATTTTTTAATACATTTGCAAGTAGACCCCCCCTCTCTTAGAATCCTCTAACAAGAGGCACACAAATGTCCAAAATACCCATGTAGTTATTATTGAGGCTAGTTTTTGCATAACAAACAATACAAACTTTAAACAATAAAAAAAGTTTAAAATTGCAACTTTACCTTTGAGGGATTCATATGAAAGGAAAATTTATAAAATAAATCAATTTCAGAAAAGTTTGGAAGGGTTTGGGGTAGGGGTGGCCATAAGCCGAGTTGCTCACGAGCTGTTCGAGCTCATCTCAGCTCGGTCTAAACTGAGCTTCAAGCCGAACTCGAGGCTAATATATAGGCTTATTTTCTAATCGAGCTGAGCTCGAGCTTAATAAAGCTCAGCTCATGAGGCTCACAAGCCTAATCGAGTATGTGTACATAGGGTGTCACCTCAACTACTAAGGGAGACCTCGGCTTGGCACCTCGGCCTTTGAGGTAGACCTCAGTTCAACACCTTGACAACTGAGGGAGACCTCAGCTCGACACTTTGACTGCTAGGGAAATCTCAACTCGGCACTTCAGTAGCTGAGGGAGACCTCAACTCAGCACCTCGGTTGCTAGGGAGACCTCAGCTCAACACTTTAGCAGCTGAGGGGGACCTGTAATCAAAGGTAGCTGAGCACGAGCTGAGCCGAGCTCAAAATTTTGAGCTTTTCACTCGAGTTGAGATCAAGCTCAAGTCTCTAATTCGAATCTAGCTTGAGCTCGAGCTTGCTAGTTTATGAGTGAGTTGAGCTCGAATAGCCAGATATTCAGCTTGAATCCACCCCTAAGTTTGGGGTATTGATTGATATGAAGGGAAAACTTGGAAAGTAAACATTTTAGTCAAAGTAACTACATGATTATTTTGAACATTTTCATGCCTCTTGTTAGAGGATTATAAGAGAAAGGTTATACTTGCAGCTATGTTAATGTTCAAGAGAGGTGATTGCAATTACCAAACTTCATGGGAAGTTTTCAGCAATGGTTAAAAACTTCAAGGGACATTTTAGCATTTTACCCTTTCAAAACATGGATTTATATTGTTAAAAATTATTTTTGTATTTGATAAAGATCCAATTATTAGAATTATTAAATAAAAAATACATCAAGTACAAGATTTAATGTGAGAGAATGTGAGTTGATACATTAAAGATAAGACATAATAAGAGGGAATTAAATAAGGTGAAAATTATATTCCAACAATTACATTATTAGCTCTTAGAGTTAAAGAGAGACTAAATTCAAAAATAAGGGTAGTTTAGTAAAGTTCTACACCCTCATTGATACTTTTAATATTATAAATAAATATACTATATGTACATTTGTATGTATGTATAATATAAAAGTAAATAAGTAAATATACAAAAAAACATTCTGACTTTATGTGGAAATTTTAAATTACAATAAGAATTATTATTATTATTATTATTATTATTATTATTATTATTATTAAATTTTGTGTTCTATTTCCATCATAAATAAAAAAATTATTTTAACAATTATTTTTATTTAATATGATGAATATATAACATTAGAAATGCTTCTAAATGTTTTTAAAAAAATTCTATACTTTTTTCATTTTTTGTGTTTTCTTTTTTTTTTTAATTATTTATTTTTCAATTATGATGCCATGAGTTTATTTGAAAAGTTGGATAATTGACCCACGGTCTGGGTAGAAAAATAGCTTTAATTATTTGTACTTTTTTTTACCTTTTAAAGATTTATTGTTTAACTATGCCATCTTCGGTTAACCCATTTGACCCAACCCACGACTCGAAAAGGAAAATAGTTTGGCTTTTAGATTTTCTCTAGTTTTTTATTTTTGTGATTCTTTTTATTTTTTAATTTTAAAATTTTATTATTTGACTATGACACCATTTCATTTCTATGTTGATTTTAGATTTGACATTCCATTTTCATCATTTATAAAAGCACTTCTTATATTTTATATTTATTTTGTTTAGTATAATGAATATAAAATATTAGAGAAATGCACAATCATTTTTGTTTTTTCTATATTTTATATTTTATTTATTTTAATTTATTATTATTACATTATGACATTGTTGATTAAATCATTTAACCCCAAATGGTTGAATTGCTTATACCCATCACTGAGAGGGAAGAAAATGGTTTTGTTTTCAAATTACTTTTCAAAATATTTATTTTTATACTATTAAAATTAATGTTGTTGATTTAATTAGTAGAAGTTAATGATGAGAAAAACATATCTCCAATATAGGATTTAATGAGAGTATAACTTAGATATGAGATTTAATGAGAGAGAAGAGAATAGAAAAATGGTTTTATTTCTAATTGGTTTTAAATTTTATATTCCATTTCCATAATTAATAAAAATATTTCATATTTATCACAATTATTATTGTTTAATGTGTCGAATATATGATATTAAAAATGTTCCTAAATATTTCTTTAATTTCTATATTTTTTGAAATTTTATCTATTTTTGAATTTTTTATTATTTAATTGTGGCAACATGAGTTGGCGCATTTGATCCAGAATGGTTTAATTTCTTACCACCACCTAGATGATAACATTATTTTTCCATGTATATTTTAAAAGTATAAGTTTTTATTTTATTGAAATTATTAATTTATAATGTATGGCTTTTAATTAGTGGAATTTAGTGATGATAATAAATAAAAATGCTTTAAATATATGAGGGTGAATGGGAGTTAATACCTTAAATGTGAGATTTAATGAGGGAATTGAATGCATTGAATAATAGTATTCAATTTACATTTTTCACCCTCAAAATAAAGGGACCATATTTCAAAAAAGGGTGTGTTTTAGTCAAGAAAAATTCCAAAAATTTTAAAGGCTATTTATACTTTTTATAGTAGTATATAGATATACACATTTGTTTGTCGGTATGTGTGTGTACTACATATTTACATATATATACATATGCATGTATGAATGTATATAGTTGGGCCGGACTCGGATCAGGGCCCGGCCCGAAAAATTAAGAAGCCCAACCCATATAAAATTTCGGGCTAGACTTGTTCGGGCTCGGGTTAGGCCCGCCCAAGTTGCACCCCCTATATCAATCCTTTCCCATTTTCCCATGCAATCATCTACCATTTTGTTCCTCTTCTCATCAAAATTCCAGGTCTGGTGAACTACAATAGACTAATTCCTCGCCAAATAAAAAGCCCCTCGACGGATTTGGCCACTTCTTTTCTTCCATTTATTCCCCTCAAGTATAGACTACCTCACGTCGACAGCCTTACACAATACCTATTCTCTTATTACACGTTACATGACATTCTCTTATTACACGTTACATGACAGTGTTAAACAACACCAATTTCTCATCCACACTGCATATAAATGATCCTATGACTGAAAGAGAGATAGATCTTTCAACTTTTGAAGAATATACCAGTATTGTTGTGTGTGGGCCTACTGCCCCATCAATCCTGGAAGGTGTGGATCCAATTCGCTATCCGTCCAACGGTCCATTGACAACCACGTATTGGTTGGATTTATGTCACGTCATATGGTTGTTGGACCTGTTTGATCTGATGGGTCTAAGGTGTAAACAAGATGGGCCCATCCCTCTACCATAAATGGGCCCATCCAGCGAAAAAAAGCAAAATGAGCCAACATTTCAGTGTTGAAATGACACTGCCACGGTGCCACCTCTATGGAGTGACTCAGATCAACGGCCCCTACAGCCTTCTGATTGGAATAAAGATTATGGCGGGTCCTAAGTTTCAACCAATACAGCCCATGCCACGTGACAACTAGTCTTCATGGACATTTTTTGAAGGAAACCTGCGCTTTTATTACAGAAACCAAAACCCGCTGCGCAAATCTCTCTCTCCCTCTCTCTCTCTCTCATTTTTCAGTTTTTTCTTGTTTGAAAAATCAATGGCGGAACAGCTCACCGAAGAACAGATCTCGGAGTTCAAGGAGGCTTTCAGTCTCTTCGATAAGGATGGCGATGGTAGATTTTATCTCCATCTGTTTATTTCTTGTTTTTAGTAACGTCATTGAGCTATGGCCCTCGTTTGGAGGTTCTTTTCAAATTGAAACCCTAATGTGTTGACTTAGACAGGTTGTTAAGTTTTGGAGCTTTAACTGTGTAGATTCGAAATGATTAAGTTGAGCAGTGACAGATCATTACATTCTGGTTTTGCATGGAAATGCTAGTGGCTTATTTTCTTCAGTCGCTTTTCTCTTCTATTTTAGGTGTACAAGTTTCGACTGTTATTGATTATTATCCATGCATTCTTGCTTTGAGCAGAGGGAATCTTACTTTACTCTTGATACTGTTTTGTTTCTAAATATTAGAGGGATTGTCGATCTGGAATGTGAGAATGATAGATCGAGATCTTATACTTCTAGTATTTTATATTATATTTGTGTTTTTTATTTATAGATTTACACTTCCTGCTTCCATTTGCCGGTACTACTAAAAAATTAATAAGAGAGTTCATTTTTTAGCTTCTATTTATAAACACGCGTGTTTCCTTGCTTTTTCTCCCCCCCTCCCCATTGCAAGAGGATCTTTTGCTCGTTGTTGTTGTTGTCTTCATTTTTCCTTTCTCTTACTTGATCCTCTTGTGTAAAGGTTTTGGATCTCCTTAGAACATTCAGACCTTATTTGCATCTGGATGTCCTTTTTTTCTCTGTTTCCTTATATTGCCAATAACAAGAATTCAAAGTTCCAGAGTCACAAAATGAATTTCTTGACGAATCTTTAACAAAATGATTTTTTTGGGAGATGACCTATGCATTAAATATTGCCTAGAAACTGAAAGAATTTCATCCACACCATAGAATTGTCAAAGCTATTCTGCTCTATTTTCCAAAACATGTTGGATAATATCCGTATGTTTTCTTAGACCCTGAGGGAAGCATATATTTTAGTTAGTTCTTTCTCATGTCATAGTCTGGTCTGTCCAATGTTTACCCTGGGGGCCATTTTATAATGGCTGAAGTGGCTGAACTGAATGACTTATTGCTTTGTCAATTTGTCTTTTAGTGGATAAAACAGGCATATAATAAAAATTTTAGCAGTATAGCAATCAAACCAACAAGACATTTAGCCATTAAGGAGCTCACAATGTATTTAATGACTTCTTCACTAAATTTCAAAGCAATAAGTATTTCATTTAAACCACTTCAGCCATTACCAAATGGCCTATACAAAACAAGTACAATTAGTTTGTTCTAGAGCAATCTTCAAATAATGCTCTTGCAGTCTAAACACTGTAAGTTAAAATTGTTGCTGCACTTTAAGCATTGATGCTAACTGAACTGCTGATGCACTGGCTACCTGTGAAATCAATAAGCATTTCGATGGATCAATTGCTTTTTTTTTCTTATATTGAATGGTAGCTGTAAAGTGCAAAACTTATTTTGAATATTTGATATGAATTTCAATCCTTATGTTGCCTATAAATTAGATGTTGCTGTCCTCCTTTTATCAACATCTAATGATAGAAGTGTTTGGTTGTCATAAAGCCTGAAAGAGAGTATATGGAGAAGACTTACTAAGACATGCAACTTCCTAAATCAGGAGTCAGATCGACTCAGTTCATCAACATTAATCCCAAGTATTTGGGGTAGTCTACATGAATACTGTCCTGCTACCATGCTCTATCATTGTCCACTTTATGTTACCCTTTAGGATTTGGGTGCTTGTGAATTACTTTATAATGATATTTGTTGATCTAAATTGATTGGGCCCTCATGTAATCTATCTATTTTCAGAATCTCAGAGTGCTGTGTTAATTTTTTTTTGCAGGTAAATAAAGCTATTTTTTTCTATATCAATGTGAGGATAAAGTTAGCATTGGAATGTGTAGAAAACATTTGCTTTAAGTCATAACCCAACCCGATTTGGTCTGTTTTTCAAAATCGCCAGTCAGTTTTGGTTCTTGTAAGTAAATAAACCGATAAATTGGGTCGGTTTTGGTTTTCAAGTGTGAAAACTGAAATCACCCCAAACCGAACCGAACATGTAATGTAAAGTGTGTTTCCAACTTTCAATCCTGTTGCTCCTTAGTCCATAGTCTTTTCCTAAATTAGTTAATTGCTTTATGTAACAATTGTCAAATGGGGAATTGCTTTTGTCTTGGGTCTTAGGATTGATATTTCTTGTTTTCTAATATTTCGTCCTCCCTCTTTTTTTATTTTGTTTTTTGAGTTGGAAAGTTTACACACAAAAGGAAAAATGGGATATAGGAAAAGCTGAACTTTATGCCATAGTTTGAGTCAATTTCAAAGTCTAATTGAAATAAGACCCACACTTTTATCCATTGCCTTTTTGGGATTGGCAAGACTTGCAAGAAAGACCCATAAGGCTTAAACTTGCCAAACTTAGGGAGAAATTTCTGTCATGGACAGTTTCAATGTTATGGGCCCGGCTGTAGGATCTCGTCATAGGGAGAACCTCTAGCTTCCCCTTGCCCCTCCCTTTGCGTGCAGACCCTAAGGGGTGATTTGTCCAAGAGATCACCCTAACTCTCCTTTACTCTTTTCTTTGACTGAAATTCTTGGATGCCTTTATTCAATAATAGTGGCTCCTTAAATTGGAGATTACAAGAGTCCTGCTCTTAGGGAGACTCCTTGTTGAATAGGGAGACCTCAAACTCTATCTTGATAAGATAAGATAAGTCTTCTCTTAATCCTAATCTAATAAGATAAGATAATCTCTCTTAATCCTAATCTAATAAGATAAGTCTCTCTTAATCCTAATCTAATAAGATAAGATAATCTAATCTACTAACTTAATAAGATAAGAATAACAAGATAGTCTAATCTAATCTGCTGAATGGATAAGACTGTTGCTGCCGAATTGGATAGGATGAGAACACCGGATCATTGCTGCTGCTGCTCCCAATACGCGTCCACATCATTCACACACTACACAACCTCTTGTTTGGGTCTGAGCCGCCTGGCACATCTGAAGTCTCTTAAGTAGATTCCCCAAACCGACCCTTCATGTTTGGGTTTTACTTCAGTGTTGGTCGGTTTTGGTTTGCTGAGTAAGCAACCCAACCATGTTGGGTCGGTTGAACAAAATCCCTGAAACCGATCCAACCTGACCCGTGAGCACCTCTGATAAATAGTAAAAGAAAGGTGATTTCTATAAGTGCTACCTTTTTGTGTTGGCACTCTCATTGAAATCTTATACAATATTTATGGATGTTTCATGGTGTTTATTGGGTTATTCAAAACCAAGTGCGTCCTGAATGCACTTTGGCAGCTTTTCTACATAATATGACCTGTTCTTGAATTGCTATTTCTTAATCTATAACTTTATTATTTTCTAAATGTAATTTGATTTATAGCATAATGCTGTTATCAAGCCTGAAGATTCTATACTGTCAACCTATCAACTGTGATTACAAGGTAACAAGTTATGTTCGCCTTGAGAAATCTTTGAAGCTGAGACAACATCCCTTAATGTTTTCTCCACCATTGATGATTGCCAAAGTCATTGATGTAACTTTTTAATGGAAACCAAGAAGGAAAAAAACAAGCTTCGGAAGTCCTTGAATATTCCAACTGTTGACAAAAAAATAAGCGTTTCATCTTCACGTGAAATATGATGTTTTCTTTCTGAAATCCAAATCCTTGTATAGGTTGCATCACCACCAAAGAACTGGGTACCGTTATGAGGTCTTTGGGCCAAAATCCAACTGAAGCTGAACTCCAGGATATGATTAATGAGGTTGATGCTGACCAAAATGGGACAATTGATTTCCCTGAGTTCCTTAATTTGATGGCAAGGAAGATGAAGGTGAGTTTAATTCACAGTGCAAAATGTGAAAGAGCTTCAGGGCAAAAGTAACTAATATTTGCTGTATTGAACTTCTATTTTTATACAGCTTATGTATTTCTGCTTTGAGACAGTATTATTATTATTGCTCTACTACATTACATGGTTCAAGTTTGTCAAGGAGCTATTTTGGAATGTAGTTTTAGCTGTGACATAGTGCATCTTTTGAACTTTCTACCACAACCTCACCTGGTAACTGCTTCAGGGCCCAATTTTGCCTTGTTTTCATTTTTGACCTGCTTTTTCTCAAAATTCTGCCAACCTTTGGGCCTCAAAAGATGGCAAGACAGCTGTCATGGAGTTCTGACCGTACATTGTATTGCTGTAAACCAACTCATGAAAAAAATTGATTGCTGCAAACCAGTGTTCCCTAGGGCTTGAGGCTTCAGGCAGTAGTTAAAATGCTGGTATACTTTTCTGTGGGGTTGGGGGATGAAATTCTTATTCCTAACTTAGCTAAAACTATGTTATACTGGTTTTCCCCTCTTCACTGTACAATTTAAAGACATGGTTCTTGTACTGCATTATCTTCTGTGGACTGTGGTTTATATGTTTTTTTCAAATTGTTCTTTCTCGTGGTGACAACCTATTAGAATCTGATGTAGTCATAGTCACATGTGCTTATATTTTTTAATGTATGACCATATATTAAATGACAACTTTCAAAGCCCCAAACTTAATCCTGGATTGTGGCATGAGAATGTTACTGACTAGAAGCCATTGATAAACTTTTTACATAAATAATAAGTCTAGTTTTGTGCCTAACAAAAAACAGCCTTTACTCTTTATAATGTTCAATCAGCAGGTCTAAAATGCATTATATTGATTTTCCACTTTTATATAATGGATAGTTAATACCCTAGCATTTTCATTAAGTATATATTCTTATCCATTGGGTGTAAGATTGAATGCAAATAACACCTGTTCACAGTTTGACATATATTTACCTAGTTTCACACCTAGTCAGATGGCATTTCAATAATTTATCAATAAAAAATCTAGTAGTTTGGCCCAATGTGCCTTTGGCTTTAAAATTCATCTATCTGATATATATATTTTTTTGATCAGCAAATTCATCTATCTGATATTCTTTTCTTCTCTGCTCTTGAAGGACACTGATTCTGAGGAGGAATTGAAGGAAGCGTTTAAGGTCTTTGACAAGGACCAAAATGGGTTTATTTCTGCTGCAGAGGTAATCTCTCTCTCTCTCTCTTTCTCTCTTTCTCTCTCCTCTCTTTCTCTCTCTGCTTGAATGAGGGAAAATGCATTCTGGTATCTTTCTGCCAGCTTGAAGCCTGCATAGAGGGATTTCCTGTGACATGGAGGATTGAGATGGCAAATGTTGATGCCTGTGTCACAGGGAGCCCTCTCGATATCCCATGCCTTATCATCTATTTGACTTTTCACATACGAATGATTTCCATAGAATTTGTTGAATATTTTTTTAATTACATTTCAAATCATCAATTGTGAGGATATGACTCTTTTTGCATCATTGAAAAATGACCATAAGCTGAACACATGTGAAACGGTGGCAATGTTAGGTCTTGTTTGGGAGGGCTTTTATATTGATTGAGCTGCTTTGACTGAGCCACTTTGGAGAAGCTACCTGAGATAGCTCTACCTGAAAGTCGATTTTGCAGCTCATGTAAGCCTTTTATTGAGTCCGGATCTCCTGCCCACTAGAACTCTGCCCACACCTACCCACATAACATCACAGTCACACATGGGGAACTTCTCATCCTCCTACATAGTATTATGCATGGGGAGATGTTCCCAATGCATGGAGGTTGTGTGTTGTGGGCAGGAGATCCGGAGTCCCTTTTATCAGCTTTCTGGTGTTTTACTGAACATGGCTTCATGGCGTTCTGGGTTTCTCAGCTCATGTAACACCAACACCAGAGGCCACTGTATGAAATCCCCCTCAAATGGTCACCTATTCTGGATTGCCATCTTAACTACCAGGTACAGAAAATGCCTTAAACTCTGAAAGTTGCTGGCTCCTTAAACAGTTAAACTAAACAGACCGGCAAGCAACATTTCTAATTACAAAACAGACCATCATTACTCCAAAGTATTAACATATACCTTTTAGATGTTATTGGAGCTGTTGGGATATGTTTGTCCCTTTCAAATATACTATTGTTTTTTCTTCTTGGCCAGAAGAAATTGACCATTTTTGGTTGTCTATTTGAAAATGGGCAGCTACGACATGTGATGACCAACCTGGGAGAGAAATTAACAGATGAAGAAGTGGATGAGATGATCCGAGAGGCAGATGTTGACGGTGATGGTCAAGTCAACTATGAAGAATTTGTGAGAATGATGCTGGCCAAGTGAGGGCAGGTGGATAAGACACGCATATGGAAAGTAGGCATACCGCATACCACGACATGTAGTAATACTAGTACATCTCATCCTTAGTGATGAGGCAAACTTTTCATTTCATTTCTTCTTTTCTATCTTTAGTTTGTGGAATGTATTTGTAGACCTGGTTTGGTAATTTGGTTGAGCAGAGTTTTTATATTTATTCTTCATACATAGACAATGTTTCAGCCTTGCCTGATCATTTAGTGATAATCTTAATGGAATATCTTTGTAAAATTTGAAAATCATGAGAAATTGCGTATTATTGTTAATTCTGATCTTTTATTAGTTGCTTTTCAAGAGCACAGGGAGTGCATTCTGTATCAAGGCACCAATAGCATGGGAAACTCCTATTATCATTGCAGCAGCATGAACTGAACCATTAGGGGGATGGAGATTCAGGTGCTTTCTCCCTGGTTTCCATGAACTGATGAAAGGAGACTAGTTTTGGGGGCAACTTACATTTATTTTGGGAAATTTGATTAGTTTTATTTTCGACTTTGAATTTCGAATTGGATCTAGGATTTGAATCGAGTTCGGATTGCTCTTGGATATTGAATAATATAAATAAATTTAACTAAAAGTGATCATGAATTGAAAATGACTTTGATATTATATTTTATGAATAAAATTAATCGAAAGTTAAAACTCGAACTTGTGATACTTTAGTATAATTTAAACATAACATTATTATCCACAAATTTAAATTTAAAGCAATTTTTTTTAAAGCATGGTAACATGCCCTTTCAAATATAGCACAATGTTAAAGCTTAATTGACTGACAAAAAAATGTTAAAGCTTAATTGTGACCTTAATCCTTAATCTTTAGTTCTTAGTTTAGAAAACAAGAACACTTGGAAGGATGAACTAAAGAAGTTGGGCCAACCCAAATCCAACCTAACCCGGGTTGGGTTAGGGTGACCGGGACCCGACCTAGCGTGGCCTACCTTACATTCTTAGTTACAATGGAGGTAATGGTCAGCTGGTTGAAGAGGTCAATGCTCGGTAGATAATCTATTTGTAAATAGGCAGCTTTTTGTGGAGTGGGAGACTTAAATGGCAAATGGAGGGTAGTAGGTAGATTACACCATTTAAACATTAACAGCTGTTTGGAGGTTGGGTGTAAAGTAAAGTTTACTGACTTCTTCTATTAAATAGTTACTATACAGGATAATGATTAGGGGGCGTTCTTTTTATCGATTTTGAGAGGGGGAAAGTTGGCCATGGAATTTTAGTTTTCATTTATCAAGAAATTCATGTTTTTTTTTTAAATTTATGTAGGGATTAGGGAAAGTTTATTTTTCTGGTATCACATCTCCTAGGTGGGTAAATAACTTTTCCACTTGGGGGGAAGTTACTAACATTTGAATAATACAAAATGCCCCTTTTAATAATGAATTTTTATGGTTAAAATGGCCATTTCCTTATTTACTTGGAAAATAAAAGAATATGGGTAAATGCAATGTTTAAAGTATCAAAAATGTTAGGTGTATCGGAAAGACAATTTTAAGAGAGTTTCGGGATACACTTTGGATACATTAGAGACAAATTGGTAATTGTTAAAGATAATAGAAGAAGTAAAATGTGTTAATTTTTGGAAAATCAATATAATTTATATTAATATTTATTATTATATAAATTTTAATAATCAATTTTAACATTAATTAATGAACATCCATTAAGAATAAAAATATTTGCTTAAGAATAAAAATACATACAATTATCATCAACAATTGAATATGGTGTAGTGGTTTGTTTATGTTTATTACAATCAAATTATAGGGTTCAATTCTCCTTCTCTTATTTGTAATTTAAAATAGGTTGGTTTAATGACAAGTCAACTTCGAATTTATTGCTTTAGCGTTCCAATAGGTATCAATTAATACAGATTGGTACATTGCGATTTTTTAAATCTTGAATAAATACATTTACCTGGATAAATCTTTCTTGAGAAACACTTACCCTGATAAATGTATTTATAACTTATTAAAAAACGAATGGGGCCTTATAAAAAATAGACCATATCTGCTTTTGATGTATTCATGGGACAAATGTGAGGTTTCCTGACTTTTGATATTAAATTGCTACTATACATGGTTATATACTTATAAAAACATGCAGAAACAGGGACAAAGCAAAGAATCCGTATAGTCACATCCATTTCAAGTGAATGGTGGAGGTGCTCCTCGAACTGCACAACCACATTTGTCTGTGAATTCCAAACTTAAATTTTAGTGGGCTGATATACTAAGAAGCGTATTGCATTTGGAATTACATATCACGTTGGAGATGGAGACCAATCCATTAGGGTTTCCAAAGGGGGTGGGACGGCAAAATTTTACACATTACATGGGAATTCAAATATCCAATGTTTTCCAAACATCTTTAGTCTAAGCGGTTGAATTGTTCATCCCGATAAATCGGTACCTTTTTGGTCTGTTTACCAATTGGCTCATCATTCTGCAAAAACTCGTTTTTTAATTATTGAACCGTTTGATCCGAACAATGATTAATTGGTAGATAACTATTTTTAATATTTTATTATATTTGTGATAGACACAACGGGATGATCATTCGAATTGGACGGTTGAATTTAGGGGTGAGAAAAAAAAAAGAAAAATCAATGGAAATTGAACAAAAAATTCGATTAACTGAACTGGTCGATTTGGTTTTGGTTAACTAATATAGAAAATCGGCAGTAAACTGAACTAACTGATATACATATATTTCTATATATGATGGAGGGTGATTTGACCCCACCTCCTAACTAGGCGACACGTGGATATGACTCAGAGAAAGCGACAACTTAGCATGGCAACTTGGCCACAACTCGGCATAATGAGGTCAAACCCCAGCAAAACAGCTCGCTACAGCTTGCTACAGCACGACTTGTTGCAAGGCAGCTCGCTACAATGGAGTTCGCTACAAGGGAGCTTGCTATAAGGGAACCCGCTATTGAGCAACCCGGGGCTTTCAGGAAACTTCTTATCCGACAAGACCGTGCCCGTCAGACTGCTCCCACGTTTCTCGTCTGGGGGCGCAACACCTGCCAGTCCAGGGGACTGCGCCCACGTCTCTCGTCAGGTGGCATTGTACACGCCAGCTCTGAGAAACGTCCCTCAACAGACAGGACCGTACTCTGCGATGGATACCTGCGCCAGTCGTATCAACCCTAGCAAATAACGACTGTAGTAGAGAATCAGAGGCGGTTACACCCGATTTGGCAAAGCATTAATATATAAGGGTCTTGACCCCCAAGATAGAAGTAAGTGCACATCTCCACTCTTAGCTGATTACTACTCTCTAAGCTCTCTACCGAATTCTAACTTAAGCATCGGAGTGTTCCCGCTGGGCGAGCTACCCGGGAATCCTTCGTCTTCTTCTCCATCTCAAGTGTTGTCCATTGCCAGCTAGGAGCGAGGCCCCTACCAGCTAGGAGTGACCAGATCGCGCTACATCATTTGGCGCCGTCTATGGAAAACCGCTTCAAAAAGCCTCTCACTAAGCAACCTCAGTAAGACTTCAATGGCTTCCTCCAGGAACGCCGGACAAAGTGCCGACCAAAACACCTCCGGGAACGACCTCAGCTCCCTACTGTCTGCATTGGCCAGTTCATTGTACCCCTCTCCGTGGACGGAGTTCCTACCTTGAGCGCGCCTCAGGTCATGGCGCCAGTAAATGCTCCACTTCCTTCGCCGGTAGAGGCGACCTTTGCAGAACCATCAGTTCTCCCGATGGCCAGACAAAATCAGCTAGAAAACTTGGTGCACTGCGTGCGAACCATGCAAGTTCAAATGTAGCAGGTCCACCAGTTTCAGCTATATCAGCAGCAAATGCTTCACCACGTCTACCAACAACTAGCAGCAGTTTCCACCGCTGCCCCAGTACCAGCAACAAGTTCCGCCTCGACACCCCGCTACACAGCAGGCTCAACCCCGCCGTCGCAGCGAGCGTCCCCCCCGCCGAGAGACCTCCCGGACTCAGAACCCTCTCAGAAGCCAGGTCTCATCCCACGGTAGGAGGGAAAGACAAGTTACTCCCCCCTCCTCGCAGCCTGTAGTCAGGTCGGGGGCTTCTCAGCCAGACAGACCCGCGTCGCCTCGACCTTCACAGTTCGAGCTTTTGCTCGCCGAGAACCAGTTCGAGGTCCTAGCCGCGGATTATAGACAAGGCCCTTCAGCTCACAACCATCAGCAGCAATCCGAGCCCCACTCTGGGCTCATCGAGCTTGGCAACACAGAAACAAGCAGTACCAACGCCGAGCCCGTAAAGAAGCAGTGGAGACGCCGCCGAGCTCGCCGAACTGCCACTTACAACTTGCCCGAGCTCAAGGGTAAGGAAGAGGTGAGCTCGGATGAAGTGAAAGCCACTCCGCTCCTCTCAGTTCTATCCCCCTATCTCCAGAACTCCTTGGTGTCCCTATGCCTAAGGACTTCAAGGTCCCTCCCTTGGACAAGTACGACGGGTCGTTTGATCCAAATGACCACGTCGACGCCTTCCAATCGCAGATGCACCTGGCGAGAGCAAGCGAATCCTGCATGTGCGTGGACTTTTCAACAACCTTCAAAGGAGTGGCCCGCACTTGGTATAGAAACCTCGCACCAGGGTCAATAAAGAGCTGGGCACAGTTCGTGTAGGTTTTCACCTCTCATTTCGTCACTAGCAGTGCGGCTCACAACAGCCAAGAAGGGCATCACCCACAAAGAGTTCAAGTCGTGGTTGTCAACCAGCCGAAGACTGTCACTGAGTTCCTTAAGCTTGTGGACCGGTTCATAGGGACGGAGGAGGAGATCAACCAGAAAAATGAAGGTGTGCTTGAGAAAAGGAAAAGGGAAGGTGAGTTGATCCAAGGGGACAACCAGAAGAAAAAAGACCCATCTCGGGGGGCAAAGCCAAGTCAGCCTTTCCGAGCTCCACCAGCAGAAAGGACGAACTACACACCCCTGAACGCAAAGCGGGCCGAGATCCTCATGGCGATCAAAGACACCCCATATGTGAAGTGGCCACCCCGGCTGAAAGGGGACCCCAATACAAGGAATAAGAATTTGTATTGTAGTTTTCATAAAGATCACGGTCATAGTACCAAAAACTGTAAGAGTCTCCGCGATGAGATAGAAGAGCTCATCCGTCGCGGATACTTAAGAAATTTTGTACAAAATAATAATAATAAAGCAGGTCGGTAGGGGGAGCAAGGTAAAGATGCTCCCAAGTCTAGCAGCAGGCAAACCGAGCAGTCGCAGAGGCAACCTCCCGAAGACAAACCAGTTCGGGG